CAATTAGATCGCGTGTTAGCGTGGACCGGACCGTCTCGAAGCGACCGTGGTAGACGAGCAACCGATAACCACGCACGTGCCTTTAACGAGGAATCGAAACCGCCGCGCCGTTGCCGTCGGCGTCGGCGTTGACGAGAGAGCTCGCCGTGGCGTCGCCTCTCTTGGATCGTTTCTTCCCTTCGCCTCGGCCTCCGTGGGGGGAATCCCGTGTGCACCACCTTACACCACCGCGCGCGCTTGTTATTACGAGACGTTAATCTCGACGGAGCAGCCTGCCGCGTAATTCAAGAAGGCCGGCCCCGTCATATAGGTATTTTAGCGCTCGAGGCGGTAATAGGCGCGCGCTCGCTCCGGGAAGGTTATTACAAAGGCTCCCTTTCTATCTCCCTCTCCCACCCTCCCTCTCTCCCTCCCTCCCTCCCTCTCTCTCGCTCTCTCTTTCGCTCTCGTACGTCGGTAATTCTGGACATCGTGTTCAACGACTTAATACACGTCGGAAGATCAGCGCGATTATAATATAATATTACGGCTAGACGCGTGAAGAATCCCGCCGTTAACGTAGAGTTTATTACACGTGCGTCCCCGCGCGCCGCACCGAGCGCGCAATGCCCGCGCACTCGCGGGAATTGTTATTAATTTATTTGTTTGGGTACACTCTATCTGCATATCCGTTAAAAGCGCAGGTGGATTTGTATTGAAAGCACGCTTTCGGCAACTGACGTTTACGTGAATTTCGAAGCGCGAATAACGATCTTTAAATTCTCAAAATTGTTCTGGCACATCAGACCATTGAAAAAAGATATATACAGATATTAACAGGAAAGTTTAAATAAAATTTATTCGCTGTAAAGAGTACTGATATTATAATTTGATGCTATCGTTATCTAAATTAATTCTGCTTTAGGAGCGCACGCAAACTTGAACGATCAAAATATATCTTTCTAAGTTACTGCAAAATAATCGCGCAAATCTCGTACGTATCTCGCATCTGTCAGTTGTGCATCGCGACGCACCACCTGCCCTTCGGGATTCCTTCGAAATCTCGCGCGCGCGTTAATCCATCGTCCTCCCTCCCTTCCGAACGATCGCGAACTCAGGCTTGTTTTATTTCCGTCGGCATTACGAAAGTTCGCGACGGTGGTGTACACCGCGAAATCCGTGCGGCGCGCCGGAAACCGGAAGCGACGCAGGCCCGTGGGGGTTGTCGGCGCCCCTGTCGGCCGAGGGATCGTTACGGTGCATTCAGAGGAACGCGGCGCGGACTGGTACACCCGGGAAGGGGCCCGGCAGCCGCCTCGAAACTTGAAAATAGTTAAAGTGAATAAACTTTAATGCGTCGCGCGCAGGGCGAATCGGTCACGTTCGTAGGGCGCAGCTTAATGGCGGGATATGACGACTGTCGCGATTTAACGTGCAAATCGCGTGGCACGGAGGACGGCCTGCCCGAAATTAATTAATTCCCCCTGTGATAACATTACGTTCGTTCGTGAAAATCATCGTATAGTTTTTTTTTTATACCTAAAAATGATTTCGCGAATTTGCACTTCTGATACTGCGACACACTTTCACGGAGAAATTAGCATTCAGAATAGAAATAATGGCACAAAAAAGCGCACAAAGTCGACAGAGATTACGATTTTTTTTATCATGATCATCTTGCCTGTTTAAGAATCTGCCAAGACAATTTATTCGCGTGTCCATATAAAATGATATCAATTGTGTTTTCTACATATTTTGATTTTAAATTATTTATGACATTCTACTTCGTTTTCTCTATAATATAAAGAAAAATCGTATACGATTTAAAATTATGCTATGTTATTTATCGCAGCTATGATAATAGAGAGTAGCTCCATATTTTCTTGAAGAAAGAAGGCAAGTTTTCTGAAACGATTCGATAAGCAAATTAGACATAGCGCCGGCAAAGGGGTCTTCGACTTCGTGTTTCGACCTCGTGCTTGCACCTGGCGGAGTCGATCAGCCTCCGAGATCGGATAAAATGCAACGTGCGGGCAGCGAAGGACGTTTAATCCAAGATTTTTGTCACGGCTGCTTGCCCGATCTCTCTGCCAGCGCGTTAACTAAACCCGTTTCACATAATTATCGGCGATCGCGCGCGGCAGCTGCGCGCCGTAAGTACCAGCATCTTCGACGACGGCTACGGCAAGGACGGCAACGATGACCACGGCTACGATTGCTACTATACGGCGAGGACAACGTTGCGGCGTTCGGCCACCATGCGACGTCTTATTATGTAAATTTAATAACGTAGTCGATGCGATGCTCGTACTCTCTCACGGATACGAAGCGTCGCTTCGCGCCGCGCCGCCGCGCCGGTGGGCGGGCGAGTTCGTGCCACGGTACCTTAAGGTTTCCACCGGGGAACACCTGATAAACCGCGCGACATTTGGAAATGTCAGAGTGATAAATACGGCTCCTGCGTGGTGGTAATGCAACCCGCCCTCCCTCTCTCGCCAACCCCTCGTCACGTATGTTTCTCCGTGCGCGCGTTGTCGTTCTTCCCGCAGCTTTTCCCTGAGCTCTCTCCCTCCCTCTCTCTCAGCCCCCGTGCTTTCTCACGGTGAAAGTGTTGCGCCCGCGGGCGATCGATTCGCGCCCGGGGATGGAGTTTTTATCGCGGCTCGAACGCTATCGCGAAGTCGGAACGAGTTCGCGGCGGATCTTCGCGAAATGGCAGCTTTCCATCGCGAGAAAATAGAGACATCGCGATCAGAGCCCGGACGATCCGCCACTTTCAGTCAATCAAACTTTCATTCGGGCAAATATATACATGGAAATTAATGATGTCCAAGTTTTCATCCTGTTACTGACACTCCGAAAGAACATATTTATTTTTTTAGGATATCTATATATTCTGCGTGAGAAATTTTTTTAAAAGGATGAATATTTATTTATATATACTTCTGTGCTGCACAAAGCACTATTTTTGGGATTGCGAAAAGCAACATGAAAAAGCATTTGGTTGTGCACTGATAAATTATTGTATCGGCTGTCACGTCAGAAACTTAAAAATAAAATCGTCATTTGTTACAATTATTATTGCCGATGTCACACAATCCCAGCCACGGAAACGTATCATCTGTCACTTTGAACGGTCTCTGATTCGAGAGTCTCGCGAAGGAAGATTATTTTGCACGTGGAGAAATTCGAAGTATCGAGTGACGGGACGGCAGCAAGAAGCGGCGCTGCAACGCCTCGTTTTTCAGCAACGATAATTATGTTCGTTTTTCCGTTCGCTTCGTCGGAAAATCTTAATGGAAATGTCGTGCTTGCGTAATAGAGTTTAAAACGGAATTTCACTCGACGGCTGCTGCATCGTGCTTCGGCAAAATGAAACAAGTTCCTGTTCCCGACAACGTATGGTATATCTAGAATTTTCCCACGTTCTAAGACGCAATGGTTTGTAATATCAGAAAAGTCTGATAAGTTTTAAGTAAATATTTTAACGCGCATAAATGACGTTAGACAAATTTTGCTTCTCTACATAGAAGCGCAATCATAACTGAAATGCGGACCGTTACGCGCAATCTCAAAATTAGTGCATCAAATAAATAAATATTGGAATTGCTATCAACGTTCCGCGATTCACCATCGATCGATCCCTTTTCGCGTCGTGCGGCGAGTAGGTACGTCACGATGACAAGTGAATCCGGTTACACGATACCGCGTAAGATACTGTCTACGTTTTCCTCTTTCCATTAAAACGCGGGGACTTTCGTCGTCGACTAGTTAAGAGGCGCATAATGGAAAATTTCATTTACATACACTATAAGCAGTTTTACACGCGAAAAAATTCCTCCGAGTCACGCCTTGGATACGTCGACTTGACAAATAGGGCCCGCGTGATAATGCAGTCGCGTGACATCCCCCTTTGCTCCATCTCTGCGGGGATGTTTTCGTCTTGCTTTTTTCCATCGCCGCGGGGAAGCGTTGCGCCCCGGGACAATCGATTCGCGCCGAAAATAGAAGCTTTATCACGACAGGCAGGAGTAGTTGGATCGCGTGGGCTCGAGGATTCTTAATTATTATTTGTCGGGAGGTACTATCCGGTATAAAGTACAGGCTCGTTTTTTTTTCATGCAAAATCATCGCAAGTAACATTCTCATAAGATTCATAAGGTATTTGCTTCTGTAGATGTCTGCAGACACGGTCGCGTATTTTTGAAATTGACGTCAGCGTTAAACAATGCCGCGTAATTTGGAATAATGCCGAGACGTGGCGCATATAAAAATAAATAAACGTCACAGTTTTAATAAAAATATTAGTCACTGTGTTTTTTCTATGGAGAAACCGAGTTATCGGGAACACCACTCTATCAACGCCACTCCGTTTCGCATTGTTAAATATTTAACTACACTCCGATTCTCTTTGATTGATTGGCTATATTCTCCCGTATATTCATGGAAGAGCTGCCTTTCATTTTTAAATTTTGCACGGAACAGAAGCGATATCGTCGTTACACGCGTCAGGATCACCCGTGTTTGATTCTGCAGAGTCTAACGAGAAGCAAACCAGTGACTAGACATTTGTACACCGGTACACACCACTACAATGCTCAGAATATCTTCAATAACATACACAACACACATAATGCCCCATTATTAAATTACCAATAATTTTCATCGTAATTTCAAATAATTTGCGTTATAGTTACACGATAAACAATACGATTGTAACATGACAGGTATGAATGTAGAATGTAAAAAGTCAATGCAATTAGTTTCACTATATATTACGATGAGAATTAACATGCATTTAAGTGATGCCATAATTCTTGCCAACACTTCCACCTTGTAGACTTTTCAACCAGAGATTTCCCCAATGCTATGCTCAAGCCGGTTTTGACGTCCCGTATAAAGAATGCATCGGATCGAGACGCGAACGATAGAAAATCACGTTCGTTCCGCGGCGGGCGCGAGCTGGTTCCCGGTGGCCGCGCACCGTAGTGGAACACACCGGGGAAAGAAATGCCACCCACCTCGACCACCGCCGTAGCAGTACGTGTACTCGTTGTAATCCATGGACGGCCTCTTGAGTAATCCCTCGCCCGGCACTAGATCCAGCAACACGGTGGGATCGCACATGGAGGAGAGCGTTCTCTTCTCTTTGTCATCGACGAGAGCGAAACGTGGGAGACGTGGGCGACGACCCGCGACCTACGTCGCGATCTGCGCTGCGCGTCGAGGGCGCCGGGTAAACGATCGCGGCGGCGCGATCATATACGCACAACGTCGTCTGGAGTCTCGAGTCTCACCCCGGGTGAGGGAGAGAGAAACACAGAGAGAGAGAGAGGCGTATATTCGCCTTCGTATAAACGATCCTTCCGGTTTGGACTTCAAAGGGGAGAGACCCGGCGACGTCGATGGATGGCGCGCGCCCGCGTTACGACAAAGCGCGCGAAAGCCCACGGTATCCCAAATTAAACCTCCTCGCCGCGGGCGCACGGAGCCGTTGAAATACGACGAATGAGGCGAATGAGGAAGGCAACCATCGGCACCTGTCCTCCGCAGTTTACACCACGCTACGCGCGAGGGGTAGGAAAAAAAGTGCGCTTGTTCTTGGATTCGCACGGTCTGACCGTCGTCTGTTGCGGACAGTAGCCACCTCGGGCATCGCTGGCGTTCTCTCTTTTTTTTGCAGAACGCCCGACCGTTTCAATCGACACCGCATTCATTCACTGCACTTTACGACGTACAAATTTTACCACCACTCTGCATGATGCACTTTTGATCCTCCGAAACTAAACGACGCCGACATAAACGTCGATTTACAGTGCGCACCTTTATTTTTACGAATAAGAACGTGCCCTTCACGTAGACGTCACAGAAATTGGAGCGCATCCGGTAAAAATTGCAGCCTAATGCGTAATCTATTGAACATTCACGTTTGTCACTTTGTTACGTGTCACAAGTAACTGCGGGCAGCCATGCGGTTCTCTTTCTCGTCACGACGAAGATTAATAATAATCCGTTTGTGGTCCCGTGACTTGCGCGGGACAGTCCGTGACCAATTGAAAACAGGGCACAGCGTGGGACTATAGCCGGGGCTTGCTCCAAAAATTTCGAAGTCAGATCTTTTTCCGCCGGTAGGTGACAAGGGTCGGTTCAATATTCGTTCCGCCGCGGGTTATCGATCGATCGATAAACCGACCACCAAGGATCCTTCTCTCGTCGACAATGTCCAGCAACGTCGGAGAGAAGCACTTCGCGCTCGCTCGCGGAAACCGGAAGTCCCTTGGTCACGTCACTTCGCCGAAGGTAGGTAAAGGCCCGGTCGATCGACGTCCTGCCGTGCAGACGGGTGTCAGCGGGAGACGCGGATTACGAAAATATGTTCCGAGAAAATTTCAGGCGACCGCGCGGTGCGGTTGTCGGTGGTCGGTACACGCGACCGGTTCACGCGATCCTCGGCAATTTCCCTTTTACGGCCGCGCGATCTATCATCTGACCGCACGAGATCCGACGCGTAATTCAACGTCCGGGATCACTGTGTTGTTATTCCACTCGATCGTGATCGCGATCGGCACACACACCCGGCCTTGCGAAGACCCACGCGACGCGACGCGATCTCCGTGGACCGTCGAGAACCGTTCCTGGTCACACTCCTTCGGAAGAACCGCACGCTTGCGCGGTCGGTGACAGACTGAGGATAGAGGGGCAGCCGATGACTCCCAACACCGTGGAGAACGCTGGATGTGAAGTAGTGGGGAAGGCAAGAGAGAGAGAGGGAGTAGAGCAGGGAGATCCTTCGGCAGCGGGGAGGTTTGCGTAAGGGGCATTTTGGAGTAAGGGTGGAGGTTTAGGTCGAGACGAGGCTGGTGGGGCGAAGGGATCCGTCCGGGGAAGGGAAGAGCGGGGTGGGGAGAGAGGAAGGGACAACAGCCGGTCCTCGACGATCACAGCACCCACTACTCCACTGATGCTGCAGCGGATCCCGTCGGGAAAGAAGACCCGTTCTCTTTCACGCGCCGCCACCCGCCTGGCCTGGCTCTCTTCTTCGGGTTCTCGCACCTCATCTTCCTGCCATCTCCGGCGGCCAGGGGCGGATATATCCTACGTGGCGGACTAACGAAACTGAACTAACGAAACTGAAGCCCTCCGGATAATCTCGTGAAGTGATATCATTATAGGAGTCGTTAGGAGTTCTTCCGAAACAACGATAAAAGCATGCTAACGTTTAATTGATTCTGCCTAGTTTTTTTTTCCAGTGCTCGTACTAATTTCTTCCCTCGTAGTTTTTCCCAGCAGTTTAAGAGAAAATATGGAATCAGTTCATTCCTAACAATTTCGATTTAATCATGCATGCAGACATGCTCCTCAGCAAAATAAAATTGTCAATTAAGATAAAGTATTACGTAACATACATCAAGAATGTATCGTAAGTAATATTTTTCTTCAATATCTCTTATTAAATTCAATGACTCTTATCGAACTTAAAAAATTATTAGCTTTAGGCACTTCACAAGGCGGCACCATCCGTTCCTGGTCCAGTTCGTTCTATTGGGGCGACCGGTTTCGGGCGGTTGATGAACGATTAAAGCGTATCGCGAATATTAAACGCAGAAAGGGAAAGGGAGGGCGCGGGATAACGAGGTATGTTGCATCGTTCGTACTCTCGATCTTCGCCCACGATCTCTGATTATTATTGGTTCGGTGTGGGAGCGGACGCGGAACAGACACTGGGGGGGAGGAAGGAGGGAGTCGATTAGCGTGGGCACGGTTTTGCCGTAGATTGGAAATCGAAGAATTTCTTCGATATTATTCGCGTGTGCAGACGATTGAAATGCAACAGGGCAGAAAAGGTGATTACAAGGACGGTAATCACAGCTATTGAAGCAATATGTCATCTCGCAAGAATGCGCGCTGTGGGCGTAGCTCTCGTATAATAACGGACGCAACGTAAAGTGTGAAGACTCATGAATGCAAAGTCACATTGTCGACGCTTTTTTTAATATCGTAAGGAATCACAAGAATAGTAAATGTACACAATTGTATAGTAATATTTGAATCTAACCGAGATTGATCTTACAATTAGACTAACAATTAAGAGAATTATATTGTCATCGCGTTCGTTATTCATTGCGTAAATTAGATAACAAAAATTCTTCGTGGTACCGTTGCATTTATTATTAATGCAAAAATATCTGAAATCCGTGTTGCTAGGATAACAAATAATTAATGTTATTACTGGATAACTTTAGAACAATATTTCTCTTGCGGGATAACTCCGCCGGCGCGATTATTATATACGCTGTACACGAGAATTTTAATCATTCTTCCCAACTAAAACACACATACACAGGCGGTGTCGAAAAACAAGATAAAATACCATATGCCACAAATATTGTAATCGTATATAATGTTATTGCTCCCACAATGCAAAATGTAAAATACCGCGCGATGTAATCATCGGTTTCGCGTGGCTTTCGACATAATTTCGAAAAAGCGTGAAAAAAATATTTAATATTATATTTGTTTTAATAAACATCAGTTATAAAAAACGTTTCAACGTTAATAAACTGTATATATTTACACAACAGTGTTATCCGTTTATGCAATTATCTGAATGCTTTTCGATCACCTTTAATTTGTGTGTCTGTGCCCTGTCCTAAACAATATACGCAAATAACAGTTTTGTGCGCAACGCGAGAGGAATGTAACAGAGCGCATTGTGCGCTGTGTCTCGCTCTGGATTTACGGAAGAATGGAAAGTTAAATGAAGCGACCCCTCAAATATAATCTTGCGTGCAGCTTGTGTGGAAAGGAGAAAGAAATTCTCTCCATACGTTATCCATACGTATAAAGCTCTGTAATTTCAACAACTGATAAAAATTGTACATCCGATTTTTCTACAAGTAAAAATTTCTAATTTATGTTCTAATGTATGTACGAGAGAACATACATAAAACCTTATAAAATTCTCTTGCACAATGACAAATTTGCCGAGCGATAGTATTGATCGAAATAACAAGGTTATTACAGTTATACATAGCAGACAGTGGATTAATTGGTTGTGTTTTCATAAAAACATGGGTAAAAAAATCATTTAATGCCAATAGAAAAATTTCAGCGTTTATTTATTGCAAGAATTCCCGAAATGTTGCGGATATTCTTCGTTAGTATCATATATTGTACGCGTTTCTCTTCGACTAACACACCTCATTCGCTCACGCAATTTTTATCCCGCGGCGAGTTAACGCCCGAAAGTGCGAATTAACCAGTCAATGGGTGACGTAATGAGACTTAAATGGACGAGGGAACGCGAACGCTCGCGAACGGGAAAGTATTGGCGCGACGCGAATCGGGCGGCGGATGATATTGCATCGTTCGCGGAAACAGGCGAGAGGTGGATAGGATAGAATAGCACCCTCGGTAACGGTGGCGTCGTGCCATCTCGCGTTCAAATGTTTGCCAATGGGGTTAGGGAGAGGGGCGGGGGAAAGGGACGAAGGAAAGGTCTGAGAGATCGTCGACGTCGTCGCGACGGCGGCTGGTCGAAGACCGACGGGCTGCCGGTCGTACGACTGTCGGCGGCCGGATACCGCCGTATTCGACGACCCGTTCTTTATTATGCGAAGTTTACCGCTTCGGATCTGCCGCGCGTGTAGCACGATTATTTTTATTTAAAATTACCTCCGATACTGCCAAACAAGGTTCTAGTAAAAAATCCTTTGGATAAACTTCGTGCTTCGTCTGCAATATCTTTTAAAAATCGTGCACTTTGAACTGATCAATTTTTGAGAAAAATAATAAAATGGACAGATGGCAATGATAAAACGGAAGCTGAAATTTAAACTCGCAAAATTTCAGAAATTATACATGCAATATGAAATTCTTTATTTGTTCACGTTCTTGCTCAGTGAACGAGATATTTCTCTTCCCGAGGAATATATCGCTTCTTAATAGAAAATTGTGTAACACTATGAAAAGGCAGAGAGAAAGAGAGGAGATATATATCTTTGACGGCACAATGGAAATTTGTTTAATATTTATATAATTATATGCGCGCGAACCATGTTGAAAACTTAGACAATAGCCATAGATTTTAATAGCAGCTGTATATACCAAGAAAGCGAGAGAAAGAGAGAGGATAAATTAAACTGCATTATCTAAATTCCCCCGGAGCATCCATTTAAATTCTCACAGCGCGGAATTGTTTTTCGCGGGAGATTTCATACAGCTGGGTTGTTATAAAAAATTCATTTAGCGGTCTTGCACGTCTGACGCAGGGAATCCGCTCGCTCCTTTCGCTCCTTCACGTGACTGCTCTGAATAATGCGCGCTTTGGAGTTTCCGGGTTTCGGCTATCGTTTTACCGGGTTACCCGGATTCTCGCGGGCTCGCTCGAAACAGGATGAGCGTGACCTAATAGGTAGACGCTTCTCATGTTTTTCTGCCAGGTCCAAGACCCCGGGACTTTCTCATCGCGCCGGCTGCGCGCTGCACCGCGCCGTCCGCGTCGTCTTCACCGCGCTTTATCCGGTCGGACAGTTTCGCGCTACGGTGCGACGTGCGATTAAGTTGTACCTATCGTGGAACGAGAGTGGATGGAACGAGAGAGCGGTAGATAAAAACCTTTCGCTTCTCGTCCGCCGCTTCGCGCTTTAACGGAGCCGAGATAATAAAGAAGACGAGTCGCGCGCGGTAAATTATGATGTTTCGAAAAAGGCTACCTGGCTGCGCGACCGCTTTTGCCTGTTGAATCATTAAAACGACGCGCTTGACGTGATCTCCCAATTTGCGTGTCACTTGTGTGGTATTACAATTTGCATTTGTGTTGTAATTAAATGCGAAACCGTACAAATGACAACAGTGTATTGTCTTAACAGACACGCCTTTTTCTCTTTCTGTCTCTGTAGCTATATAGCTCTCGCTAAATATATTTTATTACAAAATATATTTCTTGCATATATATATTTGTTTAAATATTAAAAAAAAGGATAATCGATGATTGCAATTTTTGCAAGTACAAGCCACGCGAATACACAAAGATGAACTTTTCATTCAAAAGCGAATGATAATCGGAAAAATTCAATTTTCTAATGCGAGAAATCTATATATAGCTCAATTTCATTCGGACGACCTAATTCTACCCTCTCTTCGTTACTTTACTGCACTGCGATATTGAAATCCCAGAAAAGCTTTCGGCCGTAAATGGTACTCGACATTTGCGGAAGATGGGGCTTTCCGTGATCCGGGAGTGCTGCAGCGACCTTGTTTGCGGTTGAGAGAAGCGAAAATGGTCCATGATACTTTCTGCTATGCGCAACAAAATGATCTGATTCCATATGCATCGAAACATTGTTGAAATGTCTCTATTGTACTTTAAAAGCGAATTCAAACTATGTACTAAATATGTAGAGTAACACGAACAATCATGTTTTTGATCAACAAGCATCTTTTTGAGATAAAACTGCGATATTTTTTAAATATAAAATATAATCAGAAGTATCAGAATATGCTGAAGATAATTTAATTAAAAAATTCTAAAATGTGATCTTTTTTTTCGAGTTGCTTATTTAAAATATTTATTATATTAATATTTAAGAATTATTTTTTACACCAAGAAAATCGTTTGAGATAATTAGAAAAGTGGAATTGAATCGTAATAAA